CGCGCCACGGTCGCCGCCGCCGCCGCTGCCTGCGGCCTGGCCGGGAGCCTCAGCCTGCAACCTAGCGACCGCCGGGGCCCGGGCGACGCGCCGTGGAGAAGGCCCCGGGGACAGCTGTGGGAACCACCGAGGCCTCACGGGGATCCGGCCTGGGCCTGGGGAACCCCGGCAGGGCCAGGCCCGGGTCGGGCGACAGAGCCCCCAGGGCGCTGGCAGAAGGCGACGCCGGCAGGCCCGCGGGAGCTGGACTTTCCCACCTGCAAGGGGCAGCGGGTCCCGGGAAGGCCTTGACCGGCTTCACGCAGAAGCTTCCGTCCTTTTGTTGGAGCTCGCGTCCCCATGCGGACACGGGCAGGAGAGGGCCCGGGCCGTGGGCCCCTTAACCCCTTGCCTGCTCTCTCACACTAGCTCAGGGACCACCTCCTTCCGGCCACACACGGTGCAGAACTTTGTCCTTGCGGTGGGCATCTCCGCCCTGTTCCCTTGCTCCTCCAGGAAAGCTCTTCAGGGGTGGCAGTTGGCCTGGTGTCTCCCCACCCTGGCTGAGATGCTCCCATCTCAGTAGTGCCCCTGCTGGAGCCCCCTTTAACCTTGAACCCCACAGCCTTCTTCACTTCTGGGGGCTTTGGTGGAGACTGTGGTTCATTCTATCTGGAGTGCAACCCCCCACCCCATTTACCTGACTGCTCCCCCATCCTTGACGGCCTCTCAGGGCAGCTGGTAACCCAAGCCCCGCCCCAACAGCACTAGCTCTGTCCCCCTCCATCCACAGCTGGGCCCGGGGATGGGGCAGGGCTGGGTGCTGTGCCCTGCACCTCGGCCTCCTCGGCTGATATCCAACCTGCTGAACGTTGGAGGAAGGAGTGATGGGGGATGAGTGTGGGGCTAGGAGCCCTGGGTGGGACCATTGGACACTGAGGTGCTGAGAAGAGGGGCCAGCCCTGCCTGCCCGCTCAGCACCCTCCAACTACACATGGCCTTGGAGGCCTTTGCAGCTGTTCGCCGGCCCTGAAGCCTCTGACCGTTCAGGTGCAGCGGGCTGTGCACTTGGACCTGATCTTGCTCCCCACCACACCCACCGCAGGCGGGGCTTCTCTGGAGGTCAGTGCCTCACATGTTGTCTTCACTGTACCCCAGGGGCTAGTTAGGAGGCCCCAGGCACTGAGGCCTCTTCAGGGAATGTGCGTGGGCGGGCCTGGCATGGATCCAGGCTGGGCTGGGAAGGAGAAGGCAAGTGTGCCATTGGGACCTGTGTCCCTGGGCCCCCAGCTCCGTGGCTCTGGGCCGTGTTTTTTTTTTTTTGTGTGTGTGTGTGTGTGTCTGTGTGTGGTGTCAAGGTGGGGGCAGTGCTATGGACAGCCCTGGCCCGAGGCCACTAGATCCTTTTTTTTTGTCTCTAAGTTGAATTTAATTTTGAGCATCTAGCGGGGAGCTCTGGTGGTGTAGTGCCTAAGGCATTTATTTGACTGCTAACCAGAAGGCAGGAGGTTCAAACCCATCAGCCACTCCTGGGAAAGAAGACTGGGCAATTTACTTCCATAGAGATATCACCTCTGAAACCTAAGGAGGGGTCGCTATGAGTCAAATCCATTCAATGGCAGTGAGTTTGGTTTTTTGTTGTTGTTGTTGTTTTTCTGAACAGTGACAAGTGTCAAGTTATTTCTAATCAGGACAACTTACACATTTATAACAATGGCAAAATTTTATGAAAACCATCCCAGAAATATTAATTCACACTTAGTACTTATATGGGAGCTGTGGTGGCGTAGTGCCTAAGGTAATTGACTGCTAACCAGAAGGCTGGTGGTTCAAACCCACCAGCCACTATTTATATATCAATCTCTTAAAGGTTTTTAAATGGATCACATTGAGAAGAATGGAAATTCCAGAACACTTAATTGCACCCATGAGGAACCTGTACATAGGCCAGGAGGCTGTGGATCAAACAGAACAAGGGGACACTACATGGTTTAAAATCAAGAAGGGAGTGTGTCAGGGTTGTATCCTTTCACCACACTTACTCAACGTGTATGCTGAGCAAATAATCCAAGAAGCTGGACTATATGTAGCAAAACGTGGCATCAGTATTGGAGGAAGACTCATTAACAACTGTGTCATGCAGATGACACTACTTAGCTCACTGAAAGTAAGGTTGACTTGAAACACTTACTGATGAAGATTGTAGACTACAGTATGGAGTATGGATTACACCTCAATATAAAGAAAACAAAATCCTCACAACGGGACCAGTGGCAGCATCATGATTAATGGAGAACTGATTGAAGTTGTCAAAGACTTCATATTATTTGGTTCTACAATCAACACCAACGGAAGCAGCAGTCAAGATATCAGACATCATATAGCATTGGGCAAGTTGGCTGCAAAGCACCTGTTTAAAGTGCTGAAGAGCAAAGATATCTCTTTGAAGACGAAGGTGCGCCTAACCCAAGCCATGGTGTTTTCAATCACCTCATATGCATGTGAGAGCTGGACAACGAATACGGAAAACTGAAGAAGAATAGATGCTTTTGAGTTGTGGTGTTGGCAAAGAATACTGAAAGTACCATGGATGGTCAAAAGAACTAAAAAGTCTGTCCTGGAAGAAGTGCAGATGGAATGCTCCTTGGAAGGTAGAATGGCCAGACTGGTCTCACTTACTTCGGTTATGTTGTCAGAAGAGACGCTTCTCTGGAGGAGTATATGCTTGGTCAAATGGAGGGCCGGAGAAAAAGCGGCAGGCCCTCAAGGAGCTGGAGCAACACGGTGGCTGCAGCGATGGGCTCAGGTATAGCAAGGATCGTGAGGCTGCCGCAGGACCAGGCAGTGTTTCGTTCTGCTGTGTGTAGGGTCGCTGTGGGTCAGAGACAGCACCTAACAACAGAGCAAGGCAAAAATGGACCAACATTCCCTACACTCTGGGGTCCAGTACAGAAAACGGTAAGAGTTTCAAGGTGTGGCTACCCTCTGATAGTCCACTTTCACCTCCTCTTCTTTCCTTGACACAGTGAGATTCTTGGATGGAAGGGAAGA